AATTTTTTTTAAAAAAATACATTTTCATTTTAATGATCAAGTCTTTTTTGGTTTCTTTACTTTATTACTTCTTTACCTGCTTTTCTTTCATTAACATGTTAATCATAAAGTAAACCATAAAGTATGACATGCATACCATAAAGTATATGAATTATGCTGTTTTTATCTCTTTAATAATCCCTTAATAATCTCTCATTAAGTACTCTATGCTACTTTCTTTCAGTTAAGTTTTAATCTTTCTTCTTTTTAACAAACGACTTTAAGATATAAATTTTCCTCTGAGTGCCGCTTTGGCCAAATATTATAGGTATTTATAAAAAGTTTTTTCAGTACTATTAATTTCTATTTAGAAAAATAGAAAGAAAAAAGGTAGCTAACTCAGAGACTAAATATATAACACTAATCAATAAGATAAAATGCTCAATTTCACTAGATTAGGCAAATGCTAATCTCAAAAGACACTTTTTTGCTTGTCCTGGTGAGAAACATTAGAGTGACAGCACACGGTGCGGGCGAAGGTGTGGGGAAGAGGGTGCTCGTCTACCATTAAGAGAGGGCAGTTAGCTCCACCAACCAGATCTAAACAGCACATACACTCTAACCTGCTAACTCTATTTTTGGCCAATCTCTTTTAGAGAAGAACTCCTGTAAGCATATAGGAACATGTGTACAGAATGTCCACAGCAGCACAATTCATAACAGAGAAATCCTGGAGACAATTTAAACATCCATCAAATGGAGAATAGAAAAATGAGTTACGGGATAGTTAACAGTCATTAAAAAAGAATAAGTAGATTTTAAGAATCAAGACAAGCCGGGCGTGGTGGCTCACACCTGTAATCCTAGCACTCTGGGAGGCCGAGGCAGGAGGATAGTTTGAGCTCAAGAGTTCGAGACCAGCCTGAGCAAGAGCGAGACCCCGTCTCTACTAAAAATAAAGAAAGAAATTAGCTGGACAACTAAAAATATGTAGAAAAAATTAGCCGGGCATGGTGGTGCATGCCTGTAGTCACAGCTACTTGGGAGGGTGAGGTGGGAGGATCACTTGAGCCCAGGAGTTT